CTAACAGAGCTCAGCCAAATACTTTCTTATCTCTCTAATCACAGATGGAATGAAGAAACTAGGAATCAAAATGAAAAAAAAAAAATGCAAACATTTGCATGCCTTTGGTTCTCCTAAGTATCAAAAACCGGCAATAGACTCTTAAATCTTTTTCCCTCTCTGGAACAGGAAGATTCACAGAGAGACTTACTGAAGTAAGCTTAAAGGCATAGAAATGTTTGTTCTCTCAGGAAAACTGCATCATCACGCTTTTCCTAATCTTATTAGGAGGAGGACCTGACCGCAATATGCCGGAGTATGTTTCCACTCTTTAACAAGAAGCGAAGGACAGCACGTGGGTGCTCAGCTGTGCGGAGGTAGGCAGAGTCTGTTCAGCAGCAGAGAGAGAAGGTCCTGAGGCTCAAGGGACTGAAGTGCCCGAGGGAATTAGGCACTTGGCTAATGTCAGCTCTCGCTAAGCACCTAACAAGAGGCATGAATACAGAAAGTGACAGCAAAGGAACTGCTGGAGACCTGCTTTAAGGCTTTGTGGCACCCGGCCAGGTAGCACTAAAGACACACCAGTCTCTCCCTGTGACCTGCCGTCCTGTGTGCGCGGGCTGTCTTCACCCCCACTGGTAACAGCTGTTGACAGAGGAGCCGCTTTTGAGAACTTTGGACTGGTATTAACAGCTTTTAGAAAGAACCATGAATGAAAGAATGATTTAAAAGGATAACCAGGTAAAATGTTCAAAATAAGGAATTAACAAGCCAAAGTACTTAAGATCTCAAATCTCATTCAAGTCAAGAAGAGAGTTCTCAAATGTCTGACACTCTACAGAACAGGATTTTGGTTGCCAAAGGATTTTCCTTACCTAATAATTAATCTCCTTGCTACAGACTTCTTGTACCTGGGAAATATGTTCTAGCTAGCTTGAGGAAGATCGTTACATTAGAAAACAGAGAATGTATTTGTGAATTAGGACAGAAAAATGGTCAGTTTCTGCCACCCATTCTGGACAGCACGCAAACCCGTCTCTTGTACCTTCATCACCCACACATCGGTTAGCAGCTTCTTCCTCTATGAAGAAGCCCTTGACAGTTTGCCAGTGGCTTATTTGGCTCTCTTCTCACATACATTAATTAAACCCGCATCCAAATGAGGACAGGAAGATGAGCCCTTTTCCCTTGCAATGCTTTAAAATGCAATTAACTGTAAATAGTATGTCTAAAATATGCCTAGACAGACACAGGTTCCAGAAGCAGAAACATTTGCTGCAAGCAACATTCATTCTGGACACAAGGTGATGCACCAGGGCAAGCCAAGAAACAATTGGGCTTAATTAACTTACATTTAATGAACATAAGACCTAGACACCATACTTCGTAACAGCTCTGTCTCAAACACTGTCCGATCAAATCCCTTGGGCTGTGGTGTAACAGTCCCTCCCCTTCCACGCCACTCGGACTCCTGCTATTTCAGTGATGCCTGGGGCTGGGCAAGATGTATTCCCCAGCACTCTGGTGGCCTGCTGTACCCTGGGAAGGAGCCGGTTCACCTGAAGCTGCACCAAAACCAGCTCCTGTCATCAGAAGGGCTTTATCCAGTCGCATCCCTCCTGCCACTTGGGGGTGAGGGGGAGTTGTTTTCAATAAATTCTTTGGGAAAAAGGATAATATATTGTCTCAGCTGCTTCACTTCCATATTAATTGGAAAATATATATATAAGCTGGGGCTGATACAAAGACTTCTGACAACTGCATACAAGACAAGAACATTATCTGGATAGTACAAGGCTAAAATTTTGTAAGACTACAAGCTTGCACACAAGTTAAACACACTCTTGTAAGTCCAATGCCCCTTTCCCATTCTCATCCCCTTTTGGTTCCTCTGTGTAAAACAGAGCTGATGAAAGCTCAGTTTCTTCAGAATGAGTGCAGAAGGAATATTGATGATTTTAGAGACATTTGGAGACATTCTCAGAAGAAACTGAGGGGTTGGCAGGAGTTAAGGGAAGTTAGCAGTCTACCTGCCTGTATAAGCTTGAAACAACCCTAAGCCACATGTTGCTTGACCCATCTAGTCCCAAAATCCTGGTGCCAATCTACCAACAGTTCTTTTTACCCTACACGTTTGCAACAGTCTCTTGGACCTTTGGCAACTGCAAATCACAGTTTGGTAACCATCATCTGAAACAACAGATAAGCACTGTAAAAAAGAAGTGACTACTCAACATATGCATAATTTTTAAAATCCTCTCTCTAATTTCCTCTCCTCTGGTGTTAAGCAGGCACACAGTAAAACAAACAAAATATCCAACCGAAAGAAGATTTTCTGTCTAGGTAGCTTTTAAGAAGACTGAATGATGAAAAAGCCCGAACCCTTGGCACAGAGAGAGCCTGTTCTAGTGAACAGTCCTATAGAAGGCAACGCTACAGAGTGAAAGGAGCAAAGTACAAAAGGGATGAAGCTGTCAGTTCTGGCAGAGGGGAGAGGCTAAGAAATAAACTTCCAAAACCTAGAGTAAAGCTCAGGATGGAAAGAATCAAACAGTCAAAGCCAGGTTGTTCCTGAATTTGCATGCAGCCTATAAAAGGCCTGACCAAGATACTTTATCAGAAATAAAACCTGTGAGCCTTACTTATTTTGTGCAAAACCACCACTATGAGTTTGAAGGACCAAAATTCAACTTTGCTACTTTTAGAAAACCTATACTGCTTAACTCACTGTGCATCCTGAGCAACACAGATACATTTAAGTGTCCGTTGGATCTGGCAGAATGAACACTCTTCTGATCTGCAGAAAAAAAAAGAATGAACAGTTTGAAGTGGATTTGTTTGGAACCATATGCTGTTCTATGCATATTTAAAAAAAAACCAAACAAAAACTCCCAAACCTTTCTGTGGCACAGCAATTGTCACTTTAAAGGATTTTTTACACCCCTGACCACATCTGGTTCCTTCAGAGGCTGCTCTGGATGCAAAATAGATATGCTGTGGAATAAAAGCTGCTTTACACCATAATGTTGCCGTTACTTGTTAACATCTAGCTCTACTACTTTTTTTTTTTTTTAACTCAGCGTAACTTGCTTGCACACTCAACCATAGAGACCTGATGCAGTTTATTCAGCTCCTGTACTGCAGCTGTTTTTCCACTAGCTGCAAATTAACTGATTTCAGTGGGTATCTGAACGCTGCACCATTTCATCTGGGCCTACCATGAAATTTTGAAAGGAGTCAAGTAACCTTGAACAAAGCACCACAAAGAATTCACAGTTCTCACAGATGACAATACTTTTTATTAGAAAGAGTAACAAAGTGCTTTCCATAAGATTAATACAGAATTTTTAAGAAATATGATTTTTCCTTTTTATATGGACAGTTTCGACGTGATGATTTTTCAGTGCAAACAGGGTTCTCCAAGATTCTCCTACATGTAGAGTTTCTTCTCTGTACACAGTAGTTCAAACATTTATGCCTTTGGTGGGTGTGAACCAGTACTGAAGAGTCCAGCCTTTAAAAAACAGAGGTTATGTAAAAAGCTTTCAATATATTACACTGACCAACAGGAATTACATCATTTGTTGTTTAACACAGGTTTAAGGGACGTAATTCCTTCATACAGTCCTACGCACAGATGCTTAAAGGTGCTTTCGGTTCTATCAAGAATAATAATCATATATACCAATATAAATTACATTATCAATTTTTACTATATAGACAAAAGTGAAATTGTCTTTTTTTTTTTAAATTAACCTTCTGCTTTTTAGCTAGAGACATCCTTTGAACGCTTGGTGCTTCCTCTGCCTTGGAACTACATCTGGATGGAACGAAGAACACAATGCAAGGACTGTTCACCCATTCCCCCCTCACTTTTGGCACACATTTACAATCAGATTTCTTTTGACACATATATGCATCATTTTCATGCATTCCATTTTCCACTCTTTATGTCTGATTCTATCCCAGTCCCCTTTTTTCCTTAACTCCTCCTTCCTTTCCTGCAAATGACAGGGAGATAGTATAGCAATAGCACAGAACTGGGACAGATGATGCGGTGCTAATTCTTACATACAATGGAATGTAAGAAACCAAACAGGTGAGGGCTATCTTCCATGCAATACATTATTTTTCTTTTTCATTTTCAGTCAACCTAACTCCATTAGGAGGGATATTTTTTCAGATTTTTAAAAATTAAAAACTTCTACGAAGGACAAGACGTCGTAAGTTACCCTTAAGAGAAACCATATAAAACATTCACCATACACAATCTTAGTCCAAAAGCTACATTTCCCTAGAGTACATGTATACAAACATGAACATCAAAAGAACTGAAATTACTTCATGAGTGAAACAGTCATAGTTATGCACATAATAAAAGGTTACATGCATATAAACAATTTCCTTACTGAACTTGGCAGTCACACCCTTGGTTTATTGTTCCCCATTCCTTACGTACAGAGCAAAATCACCACTTCAGAAATACTACACGCCATCTCACAGCACAGTGTCTTTACACAGGAGTACTACTGCAACAAGGATATCACAGAGACGCTTTCCTACAGGACAAAAGGAATTGGACGAGATCCTCTGAACAGTAACTTGACTGTGGGAAGAAAGGATTTTTTTTTTTTTTTTAATGACAAGATGCTTTTGTAGTACAGCCCTTATACAGGAGAATACATGTAAACCCACCATTATTTATACAAATATGCAAAGGTGTAAAAGATGTTCTGCTTTCTAAGGGACTTGAAACAAAGGCAAAGTTTACCCCTAGGCACTTGTGAGTACAGAGCTCCTGCCTCCGAGTTCAGCCCATGCTTCCTGTTTGCTTTGGGACTTCCAGCTGTGAATAACAAACCCCTGTATCCAGGAACACCTTCTGTCGTCAAACGATCCCCCGCCATCAGCATAACTATTTAACTAGGTGCCAATCAACCCAGGTTGCCATCTAAACACACAGCTGGGCCTCGGTCCCACCCCTCTGCAGTCCT